GATTTTTAGTAAAAACAGATCAGTTCAAGCTTAAGATTGTACTCTTTTTACATGTTGAAGACAGAATTCTTTCTGTCTTCATCTAAATTTAGTTCTAGAGGTTGTGACATTACAGCAAATCTAGTTTAATCATACTGGTAGTTTTACATGTAAATTAATGCATGTACTCATACAGAATTATAGTGTTAGAGAATCATTAACAAAACCAATGATGGGCATTCCCCCCAGAATATGGGATCCCTAATGAGCTATAATTTAGATTTTAAATGAGAATAAATTACCATGCCAACAGTTCTTTGAACACAGATTGTTTTTTGAATATATCTTCACTAGGCAGAGTGTAACTGGAAGTGAATTAATCATTTCAGTCCAGAAAAAATCAAATGCCTTAAAATGAAACTTGCATGACTGATCCTTTAAATTTTAATTCATTAGGATGTTTTTTGGACAGAAATATTTAGAATGATGATGAAAAATGACAATTGATTTTAAAACTTTTTGTACATTTACCTGAGAAAGAAGATAAGTTTTACTTGGCAACCAACAAATCAGATATCGATTTACTTGGGAACTTTAGCATATATCATGAGGATAGTTACATTCAAAAGTGTACATCATGGGCACATGAAAGTGGCACAAAAAAGCCACTTGATACCAACGAGATACCATGTACTATAAAGCAAAAGTAGTAAAAAGCAGCGTGAAACCTGATCTTTCAATCTGGTATTATAGGACATTCAAGGAAAGTGGCTACATTTTTTGTGTTTTGTTCATTTATTTTCTTGCTGTATTCTATCATCATCTTATTAAGTGTAATGATATAAAATCTGGTTGAATTTTTGAAGCTGATTGAATGAAGTACACAGAGTAGTTCAACATACTAAAGCACAATGATTGTGAAAAATCACTGTTCATGCAATAGTCAAGAGATCCTCCAGTAGAGCCCAGGTTCTCTTTAAGAACAAAGTTAATAATTTCCCATACCGGAAAAAACCAAACTTATATAATATGACTCTCTTTTTATCAAGTATTGGAAGAAATGCAGTGTTGCAGACAGCAAAGGAAGAGGTATAGCAGAAAAAGTTACCACTAAGAATAAGATTCAGTAATAATTCACCATGTTGTCTGAAAACCTTCTATTTGTCTTCATGATGTGAAGGTAATAACTTAAGCAAAATTTTTGAAACATTTCTGTTCTCATGTGATGAATGTTTGGAACATGGGTATAACTAATAGACAATAGGTCAAAGTGTTTCTAGTCTTGCCCATCTACATCTTTCATTATTTGTTTAGAAGAAATGAAACTAGACACTCTGTGAAGGCAGACACTACTCATTCATAGTTCTGCACCTGACGTCCAGCTCCTCATGTTTCTGGGCATTTCTTGCACAGAGATGAATTGGGATACTTCATATGCTCATGGTAGATATGCCTTTTAATGCTTCCCCTTCCCTTCCCTTCCCTTCCCTTCCCTTCCCTTCCCTTCCCTTCCCTTCCCTTCCCTTCCCTTCCCTTCCCTTCCCTTCCCTTCCCTTCCCTTCCCTTCCCTTCCCTTCCCGTTCCATTTTGTTTGGTGGACTTAGTCAAACTCTAAAGCTGAAACAGAGTAGATGTACATTAGGGCTATAAATTTGCACCAGGAATGTGCTTTTCAAGTAAAAGTCCTAAACATTCCTGCTTCTCATGCCTTCATTTATCACACAGTAGTTGCAGATTACACAAACTGGATTAATTCCAGATGAAAATAAATTGAAAAATGTGCCCTAGGAGTCCACTTAATGCTCTTCAATCAGCTATGAGCTTTCAGTCCTGGTTGCAGTCTACACCTTTCTCCCATTCTTAACAAACATGCACAGCACATACACTGACTGCTCTATCAATTGTTTTACTACATAGATCTGTTTTTGCTATGCTGTCCTATTTGCTAATGTACCATAGTCACATTAACCCATATTCCTTGATGGGAAGTGACCCTGGATCTAATAAATCAGTCTTGATTTTACCTTTTATTTCAGGAGTAAACACATGATACATCAAGAATTTTAGAACTTCACAGCAACCAGTGGAAAAAAGTGGTACCTTATTGTATCAGCAGATAACCTTGCTTTAGTAACCTGGCAAGTATTTATACAAATATACTAAATAGGAAAGCAGGTAAAATGAAGAACATACACTGAAAAAAACCTAATACCAATGCCTGATGATATTGGGAATTTCTAGCTAAGGCTTCCCTTAGAGAGATTTCTTTTTCCTTTAGTTCTTCATGATTGTAGGAAGACATTTTGGCTATTGACTTTGAAACAGTCACTTTGAAAAGGTCAACCGCCCCTCTTAATAAAATGTTTGCCAAATATTTTGGATCTGACTTGGGAGTTGGGATACATCGTTAACAGGAGATATTTTAGTAAATGGACATTAGCATCCCAAATTTGTGGACATAACATATGAAAACTTTTAAACAAAAAAAGATGATTCTGTGGGTAATAACTTTTCAGTACCATTACTTGAAATTTCCTCATATTATCTACAAAGCTTGCTATACCTCTGACTAGACTTCTACATTGTCAGTGTTTTTAATTCATGGCCTAGGCATTTGCTGCCTACTGCATGATATATGGTTCTATTGTTTTATGTCTCAAGTGCACAGCTGCATTGTCCTAGGGGCAAAAGAAAATCCACCAGGCATAATTCTTTCAGAAGTGGACTAAGAAGAAACTTGTATAAGAAAGTATAATGAGTGAAAGACAAAAGATATTGTCTTGAAATGAACCTACAACAAAGGAAACAGATATAAACATTTGAAAATATACCTTGTGGGATAGCCTGTAAGAGAATTTAAATATTTTGATTCTGAAATAGACATAAATTATATTTATGCAGATACTGGTAGGGTAACCAAACAAGCTCTGAATTAAATTTTTGCTGATTTCTGAATGTGCTTAATTCCTAACCCCCCAGAAAAACTTTATACAAACATGTCAATGATTAATTTATTATTATCCACCAATTTTTCTGTGCAAAATTTTGTAATTTTTCCAGCTGTTATTTCTAGTTCTAAGAATCTATTCTCTTTGATTTCTGAAGACTGTCTTTTTGGAATAATACCAGATGAGTCATATATGAGTTTTTCAAATCAAGACTTTATCTTCCCTTTAAAAGATTTCTAGCTTCCCTAAAATATTTAAGCCTCTGTATGAGGACAATGTTTGACCTATTAAGCAGTATTCTTCAGTTTCTTGATGCTGGGAATTTGACTGAAGATAATAACCTTCTTTTTTCACTTTGGATCTTTTGTAATTGTGTCTATCAGAGATTTCATTTGTGGCCATACAACATATCGTGCTACTTAAATCTGTTATTTCATGTTCACAGTGCACTTGATTTCTTTGATTTTCAAGAAAGAGATGGTTGAAATATTTCTGGGTTTATAAATCTCAGGAAGTTTCATTTTTCCTTGAAGCAAGCCCTTAAAGGCTTGAAAACTTATGAACAGATGTATTTTCTTTAAAAGAAATTAGAAGTTTCATAGTACTATTAGGGTAAAACTTCTGCTCTAATGTAAGAATCTTTAAGTGTGCTAACCACATCAGAAAATTTAACCAAGTAAAATGCCTTCCATTTTTGTTTATTACAATTTTTACATTTATATTTTGTTGTCAGAGAAAACTACCTACGTAGTATAAGTATAAAGAACCTTTTCAGATTAATGATTTGATGACTATTCCTTACTTATTTCAATGAGATAAACATATGCACACCAACCTAAATACCAAAGGAAAAACAATATCTCTGCTTGGAATATCACCAAAGAAAATTTCTCAGTTATGGTTATGTTCTTCAAAGATGCATAGGCTTGAATGATCACAAAACAGCCATTCTTTCTCCAGGGATGAAAATTAATTTCATCACAATTATGCAAAAATAGATTATGGGAAAAAGGAAGCATTGCTTTTGTCTCAAGAACTACATACTGGAATTAAGTTGAAAATACTAAATCCTAAATTCTCCAGAATGGGCAAGTGCACTAAGTGAAAGTCTAATATATAGGAAAGAACCTGCACAGTGTTATCAAGTACCTTCCTTTCCTTTCTTTCTTCACAAATGAATACATCTTCAAAAGGAGAAAATGTAAAATGGCCTTTTGTATCTGATATTGTCTTCATGAGTGGCAGAATGACTAAGGGTAATCCAAAAAAAGCAAAGCTTGTGTCATCTCTTTAATTCTACTTTAGTTTTTCTCCTCTAGGATTAGCAGCTCAACACTCACTATCGTTCCTGCTATCTGATTACATCATGTTATTTAAACTAAGGCCAAAAATGGTCATATATCAAAAACTGAACTCTGAGCTCAGAAATTCCTCTTTCATCAGCCAGTCCAGGTCTATTAATGTTTACACAAACTATGCTTTTCTGTTAGTAGAAAAAGCTTGCTAAAATAGCCGAATTTTAAAGTACTCTGTATGTATATAATGTGGTGCACAAAAATTGACAGTATTTGTTATTGATAATGTTTCTTACTTGCAGTTAGTAGTGTTTTCAAGTAAAAGCAAGCCACAGCTTCACTGCTTGGCAAAGTGAGTTGTTGGACTTTGCTACAAATTAAGAGACATAAAACCTTACTAGCTTCTATTTGTCTGTGTTTTTTAGTGCTCTTCTTGATTGCTGCAATACCATACTTAATTAAAATTTTCAAACAAAGTATCAGCAATTTTTTAAGAAAGAATAAAATGACTTCTAAAAATGGAAGCTTGCAGTAAACACAGGCTTTCATTTTAAAGTTATTTGACACGTTAAAAAATCCAGCTTTAGAAGTTCATATGGCAACATAAAAAAAGGCACACAAATAAAATAAAATGACATAGAAAAGCCCAAGTCACCAGACTTTGTGTTCTTCTTTTAGGGGTCTAACTGCTCAAAATAGTTAAGCAAAGCATTTATTTGTTTCTTTATTGTCTTTTAGCTAAGGCAAATGAACTTGATCGAACATATCGCCATATCTGCTTCTTCCTTTCATTTATTTGGGCTCTTTATTGTCTCCGTCCTTTTTGCTTCCACTCAGGTATGTCTCCACAAAATAGCAATTTCCCTGTTCATGTTTCACTCATTTTTTAATCTGAGAGATGCTTTCCTTTGATCTTCTAATTTGCTAATTCTAGAAAGTGTAATATATTAAAGACAAAAACCCGCAAAAAACTACCAAACATAATTTTACAGCTACCTGGCTATTATAAGTTTTTGGTTCTGATTTGATGAACATTTTTCCCCTTAATGAAAGTTTAATTGATTACTTGTATATTTTCATAAGCTTTACAAATAATATTGAGGTTGATCTAGAGAAGAATTTACAGTGACTAGCAAATTATGTGCTGCCAGACACAGATTCTGAATATTTTACTCCAGAGATTTTATTTAGGTTCTTTCTTATATTAGAGCTGCCTGTTTACTAGGAGATAAATGAAGACTGCTTAAAACATGGACAGATTAATTTGTACCCTGAACTAGGTGTTTAAAAAGTAATTAATGGCATTGAGGTGTGTTAAAAGCAAGCAACCAAGCACCAAAAACCAACAAAACAAAACCCCCAAGTGGTTTTGAAGATGTGATCTCAGTCCTCTCTCCAATGCAGACATTTCTTAAGATTCCAGTAAATTGCAACAGAATTTAGTATTGCACAGATTGACTACAATGAATGGCAATAGAACTGATTTGGTTTCTAAAATTTTATTCTTTTATAGTTAAACCTTATGTCATTAAATGTTCTATTCTTATTGGAATGAATTTATACCTGAAAATAATTGCTTGTACTTCTGGTGTGAGGAGGTTTTTGAAAGGTCTTTTTGCTTAGCTGCTTTATTTCTGAAAAAAAAGATGCAGGAAAGAGGCACCATAAACGCTACAGGAAAATCATCAACAAAAAAGACAAAAAACCCAGGCAGAAGAAAATTGGGGAAAATTTTGCACTTATGGAAAAGATTATTTTTGGATCTGAATATTTTTGACAGTGAAGGAGAAAAAAGAGCTAAATGTGATTGCATAAAAGATTAAATGCTCCAAATCAGCATCAGATCCTCTGTAGCAGAATATGATTTCCTAAAAGATTAGGAAAGCAGCTAATAATTTGAGAGTTTTTGGCCCTTCAAATTAAAACAATGATGAAGCATAAATAAAAGCATGCTGTCCCCTGACTCATTGTTGAAGATAGAGGGAACAGAAAGACAGAATACTCTTAGTAGAGATTTGAAATCTTTTTCTCATTGTGTAGAAAGTTTTTAAGTTAGCTGACCTTATGATATTCATTTGTTCATTATGCTAGCACAAAATAATTTGGGGTTTGAACTAGCACAAAGTTTTTAGTTGAACACAGAGATACCTCAACTTGTTTTATATTGTTAGATTTTAAAGTTATAAATTTTTTAAAACTGCCCATTCAATCAGAAACCCACATACTGCGATAGAATATTTCAGTTTCTGCTTCCTAGGAATTACTTTCCCTCACCCCCTGCTTTTTGTAGTTTTGGAGGAAGTAAAGGCCTCATAATGTTTAACAAGCTACACTTTTTGCTAGTATTCAAATATGGAATAACATATTAGAAATATAGAATCTGTACATTTAGGCAAAAATGTTGCTTTTAACAGGCCACACTCTTCTCTTGAGATATGATGCACAAATACAGAAAACCAGCAGAACAGCTAGCCATCTAAAAAGATGAGGATATTGCATTAGAGAAATGTTCTCAATTTGTTTTGGTACTCTTTCCCATTTTTGAAAACAGCCGTTAATTGGCTTATGGAACTTCACTTTAAGACACAAACGTTGACATAAACATACAGCCTTACCTATAGAGATGCCCTGAGAACATGAACAGAACATTAGTGTTTTCTCTTGTTGCTTTTAGAGGAAATTGGATGTCAATTTTCACTACTATAAAATAGTCCACAAGCTCTTGGTTCTCAAATTTCTCATTTTATCCACTTGCTCTCATTTTCATGTTGTGTTTGCAGTTATGAACCTATGTGCAACATACAATTAAGTCTTTCACATGTTTCCAAAGGTTTCAGTTTTATTGTGGAATGCTTATTCTCCTCAGTCCTTAACAACACAGTGTGCCTCTTCCATGTCATGCACCTTTTACGAGCTATCCAGTCATGGGCTACTTTATCTGCTGAAATTAATTGTAGCACACACTATTATCTATATGTTCTTTGCTTCTTCACTGTCTCAGCATTCTTGGTCAAAGAAGAACCTAGAATTTTCTTTAAAATGATTTAAAATTCATTCAGTCATATAATTGTATCTTTTTCAATGATAGATCTGAATAAATATTTTGTCTTATAAAATTATTTTAAAGACTAATACTTTATTTTTTTTCTGTGTTATTACTATCTATCTCCTTTCTTCCTTTCATCAGGTGGTAACTTTAATCTATGTCAATGTTCAAGAACTCAAAGGAAATATGCAGCTTTTATGTGTCCCAAGTCAGGTCCAAATTAAGAGGAAACAGATGAAACAGGTCCATTTTCAGAAAGTAAAATTTCAAAAACACTTTGAAGGTAAGTCCTCTTAAAGAAAATCAACTAAGAACCCAAATAATAACAAAATGCTGGTCACTAGTTATGTTAAAAAATCTTATCTGTTTGTATTATTTATTATACATCATATATTGATTTAAGAACTGCAATTGTATGCTAACAGTATTTTAATTTATATATGTTGATGTGTAAGATGTATTTTCAAAACTGCACTTGGTACTTCTAATAAAAAGGTATTTTGGAGAAAAATAAATGAATATTTTTTAAATTGTAATTATCAAACCCAATTCTAAACAAAAGTTAAATTTCCTAAAATCATTGCTGGACATTGGATATACAACTACCTTTGAAGTTTTCACTCTTTCATCATCTTAAACACTGATGATTGTCCATAGCAATAAAAATAACAAGGTAATGTAATAAAAAGCAATTTTATGTACAATTTTTTTCCAAATAAATAATTTCAGAAAACAAATTGAAATCTATTACATAATAAGTTTCACAACACATTTCACACATTGATAACAGCCTAGAATATGTTATTTTCTCATCATGTTTTAGAATCAAATAGGGCTTTTCATTATTAATTGGACTGCATTATTTTTTTCTCTATGCTATGTAATTAAATGTCAACATGGCCAACAATTAATTTTAAAATAGTCTATCAGGGGAAGCTATCATATGCAAAAACTATTTCAGAGCAGGAAAAATACCTTTGCAACTATTTTCAAGTCCAGCTGTTATACGAATAATTATGCATGGCTAATGAAGAAAAAATACCTTGTGAATGTTTTGACCCCTTTTCTGATATCAAGCTGTAATAGTCAAGACTTTTCCTTATGGATTTTGAACTGTTTTGTTGCACATCTCTCATTAGTAATTGCACTTTTGGTATAAATTTTGAGCAATTTTTGGTTATAGTTTTCTTAACTTATTTGTTGTGGTTTGAGAATGAGCTGATGAGTGGAGGGTAACTGGGTAGCTCATCCTGATTAGTTCTATGAATTCCTTTCCAAATCTTTACATTCATTATTGTACACTTCCTCCTTGAGGTCCAGACCATAGAGTTAATATTACAAATAGAATATACACCCCTTTGGAGAGCCAGATTGCTAATTTAATGCTGTATTTATTATGATTGCACTCCTATCTATACCTCCTGTGGCCTGGTTATTTGTAAAGTGTTTGTTCACCACACTAATAACAAGACTTGGCTGTGTTCGGTGGGCGGCTTTACATCTCCTGCTCAGATGGGTCTATCTCAGTGTTTCCCCTGTGGTTTTTTCCACTCTTTTTTCTGCTCCCACAACACAAGGGCTATTGACCCCTTACTCCTTAAGACAACACTTCTGTGTTCAGATGGGAATTCCAGTGTCCTAGCTGATTTGACACTGGTTCTGGTTGCCAGTCTTTGTTGTCATTAAAGGGCTTTGCAACAAACATCTGACCGTCCTGTCCTGCTCTCCCAGCTACAAAGCTGGGGCAGTTCCTTGTGTGGGACTCATCTGGACAAACTGTCCCCTTACCCTTCCCTGAAAATAATCAGGGCTTTTTCTTTCTGCAGGGTGAGCCACTCCTCCTTACCCTTGGGAGAGAAAGGAAACCAGATGTCCCCACCCCTATGCTCCAGGCCCAGGTAAGGACATTTGCTGCAATGACCTCAGATATCAGGATGGCAACACTTTTCAGTCACCAGTGCAGACATTTCATTTTTTCAGCAAGCTAGCTTCACTGCTGATCTCTCTGTACTTTTCTGCACTTAGATCAGTATGAAGGAAAAGTACAATAAAAGTCTTACAACTTACTAAATCAAAAGTAAATATGAGCTTTGGAGTAGGCTTCACCTCTTCTTAACAGTAGCAGAAGCATTTCTTCATTAAAATGACACTCATGGAGTTCTTATTTATTTCATCAAAATACATTTTTTTGGAAACCTGCATTAGAGAAGCAGTAGTCTCTTACAGTAGGGAATCTACTAGTTAATTAAAACATTCCCTTTTAAATCTCTGGATGACACTAGTATCATATTCCTGCTCAGCATAAACATACACAGTTTAAGAATTATTATAATCATTAGTATAAGTGTTGAAAAAGTGTTCTTTCACAGTCCTGAATCACACTTATCTGAGACATACAATACGTACATCGTGGACTTTTTTCAATCATAAATCATGCCAGCTTTGCCAAGGGAAACTTGCATGAGGCTATCTTAAGGCAGATGCCTCTGGAGTGCTGCTTTTCTTTTTCTCAGCTAGTAGTTGCATAAACTGCTTTAGAGGAAAATGCCTCTGAGTAGAAACATAATACATAATCAGCCGAAATAATTACAACAAAAATGCTAACTTGCTGTTTTCACAACATGGATAATAGGCTTGCTTAAGGGCATGGAATGCAAAATCAGTTTTGCATGTCTTCTTGTATTTCAGAGTCATTAAAATGTGCTACACTCTGAGTATGGAAATAAATGCCTCTGCTGATAACAGAAGTGACAACTGACACACTGGGAATTCAGCTGTTTCAAACAGTGGCAGAGCTATCAGCCAGGGAGTAATGTGGATAATTTTCACAGTGTCTATCTCTGTTGAAATATTTCAATATATTCAGCTTTAAATTCAGGAAGCATAACATGACAGCCCAATATTTTAATTTAGAGATTCAGAGAAATGAAACAGGAAAGATATATGCTATCATTGCCTAAATTTATGTTGAACTTTATCATACGAAATCAAGGGATTTCCATTTCAAAGCATGTAAGAATATTATCCAACAGAATGAATTCTATCTAAGTTGTATTTCACATACTGGAAGAGCTTCTACACTCCTAATAAAGGTCTATGTATTCACAGACCTTGTTTTGGCTTGGATAGAATTATTTTTATTCTTAGTAGCTGGTATGAGGCTACATTTTTAATTTGTGATTAAACCAGTATTGGTAATGCAAGGATGTTTTTGTTGTTGCAGGCCAATACTTATACAGCATCATGAAATTTTCTTTTGCTCGCCCCACCCCACCAGTGAGGAAGCTGGGAATGCACAGGGAGTTCGGAGGGGACACAGCCAGGAGAATTGACCTCAACTGACCAAAAGGACATTACATAGCCTCTGGCATCACACTCAGCATATAAAGCTGGGGGAAGAAAGAAATAGGGAAGGATGTTCAGAGTGATCACATGTGTCTTTCCAAGTCACAGTTACCTGTGATGAAGCCCTGCTTTCTTGAGGAAAACTGAACAACAGGCTGCCGATGGGAGCTGTTGAAAGAATTTCTTCATTTGCTCTGCTTGCATGAGTTGCTTTTGCTTTCCATATTGAACTGATGTTATTGCAACCCATGAGCTTTCTCACTTTTAGCCTTCTGGTTCTCTCCCCCATCCCACAATGAGAGAGAGAATCAGTAGCTGTGTGGGGCTTAGTTGCTGAACGGGGTTTAATCACTAAAAGATTAGTCTTCTACATCCAAAATTAGTAAAATCATGTTCAAAGAACACAGGCATTTTGTACTGAAAAAGTCTTAATAAGTAATCACAACACTCTTTAGTATGGAAAAAATTCTGATCTCATGCTTTTTTAAATAGTAAGTAACCATGTCTATTCTGCCAGCAATTTAGTAGCTATTGAATGTGTTAAATCTGGATGTTTGTAAATATTCAATAGAAACAACTCAAAAATGCCAAATATGTACATTGATGCACATACATATGTATCACCATATGTAAGACTTTGCTTGTAACATCGATGTGGAAAGGTATTTACAGAATATTTTCAGTCTCCTGTCCTTATTAAGTTTGTCAAAATGCCCCCATACTATTGATGACTGAGCATTAATTAGCATACACTGATGCTCAGATTACACCAGGCAAAGATTTTTAAATTGTCCAGTTTCAGTTTAGTTTCCTCTCAATGTATATACTCTTTCTATATCCAAAAGAAACACTCACACTCCCAGAGCTGTTTCCTCATCTCCCAGCTAAAGTTAATTCTTTTGCTCTGCTAAAGCAGCTCTCCAAGTCATTCCTCTGCTCCTTTAGTTTTATTGGAAAAATAAGGCAAACCTACTGATGTTCTCTTCTTTCTTTCTTCAGTTATCTCTTTCGCCTCTTTCTTAGTATATTTAATACAGTACATTAGTTAGATAAAATATATAGAGGTATATGCAACCAGGATATGAGGGGGCTGTGCTGTCATTATCTTCACTGAAATCAGTAAACCCAAAACAGAGAGAAAGCTGATGTCTCCTTTGTTCAAAGATCATTCTCTTTTTTAGGACTGATTTCCCAAATACCAGTGCTTGTCATGTACTGCAGTTAAGCTTGTTTACAATACACAAGTGTGCAAAATCATCTCTCCGTGAGCTCTTTTTGACCTGACATACACAGGTTTTTCCATCAGACTGAACACTTTTTAACTTGCACAAATTGTCATAGTCCTATTAACTTTGATGGCTTAGTGACTCTAAACCAATTGAGGATCTGACCCAAAGCAAATAGCTCAAATATTTAGTTAATTGTTATATGTTGAATTGAATAATTTAGTGATAGAACAGGGGGTAGCAACTTTAAAAGGAAAGAGTCTTTGAAATAATTCCTTCTTAAGAAGAAATTCTTGACTGAGAAATTGGAACAGGCTGCCCAGAGAAGTTGTGGACATCACATCTGTGGAAGTCTTCATGGCCAGGTTTGATAGAATCTGGAGCAATCTGGTCTAGTAGTAGGAAGCAATCTAGCCCATGACAGAGGGGTTGGCAATAAATTGTCTTAAGGTCCCTTCCAGGCTAAACCATTCTATCATTCTCTAAGTCTTTGAAAGCAGACATGCTCAAAAGGTCTGGTAAACTGCTGAAAACTCATTGAGTGAGATTTGTCACTCAAAAAATTCCCCCTGCTGAGGATATCAGATGTCATTTGACAGTGTATTATCTTGTTCCTGCTAGGTGCTTTAATGTAAAATTTCCCCTAGGTTATATAGGGACTTGTCCAGATTATGATAGGAAAGACTGGAGACAAACATAACATAGCAATAGTTCACAATGCCTTCGTTGTAGTACTAAGTTTTTTGGAAAATTATTTAGTTACAGGTATGGTTAATTAAATCTGACATCATAGATGAGGTACATTGCAGTGAAGAGTTAGACAGATTTGTCTCTGTACTGTGTTTGTGGCTATAAGAGAAGATCAAACCTGGCAAATTCAGCAGTCTGAGATTTCTCAAGGTACATTTCACACGGGCCTGTCAAGACCAATAGAAAGTGCTTACATGAACTGAAGAAAGCTTGATCACTAAGATTTCCCTGCTGTAATTGGAACCTTGGAAATATGGAGTCCTCTGTGTATTTTCAAGAGTATTTAGATGGACAGTTGCAGAGTAGCTCCTATGGAATTGTAGCTGCATTGTAGTATAGCTATAATGGAAATGCAAACAAACTTATGGTAGACAAGGACATAAATGCATTTACAAGTGTCATTCTAAATTCTAGGAAAGCAGATACATTTTATGGTAGCTGAAATGTTAAAACAAGGCAGACTGGAATTTTATATAAAATTGTGATAAAAATTTGAAAAGGACCTGAGGATCAAAAAGTTCCTTCCAGGAACCCCACAGGGCCAATAAATAAGTTACAAGAGCAGGAGAGAAGGCCACAGGAAAAAACACTTTCCACCCCTGTGTGCACTTATTTCAGGATGGGTTGGGGAGACTCCCATGGCAGAAACCTGGATCTAGCTCCTGACACACTGAATAATTTTCCATCTTCCACTGTCTATGTGTTGGCAAGTCCTGTATAATTTGCCATACTTCAATTACTCATCTCTTTCACCCTGTGTTCTCTCCTCAGTACTTATAGCTACTGATGTATGTCACTTGGAACATTAGTCACTTGATTAAGGCCCTGTCTATAAATAGGTATTCTTACTCATTATTCGTTAACAGATGTGGATCATTTTTTTTTTACCCTTGTAATGGGAATTTTTTATAAGCACATTTGTTTGATGCAAATGCAGCCTATATAATAGAATAAGTATGATATTCTTCAGACTGATGCCTTTAACAGTAGCATTTAGAGGCAGGAGTTTTAAAACACAATTTTTATTGTTATGTAGAAAGATCACACTTCCTTTTTCTAAATGTATGACATTTATTTATACAAATCCTCCGTCATTTGCATTTCCTGCTTCTTAATTACCTGATATTTTATTCTGTTAGGCTCTGTGCTGCAAAAAGAAGAGATTTTCTCAAACACTTTGTGTTTGATCACAAACCAGCACCCTAGGAAAGCCAAGACCCTTGTGCCTAATAAGTCTGTCAGTATCCCGTTATGGGGACCCTTCAGTGAACAGTCCCACTGGATTGGACGGCAGTTCAAATGTCTTGTTCAGGGTCACATACCAAATAGAAAAACCCCTCCTGGGTCTCCACACCTTTACCCACTGCCAGTGACTGCCAGCACCCCTGAAGTACTCACATTAACTGTTTACAGAATGACTATTTATTAGTGAAATTGTGAGAATTTAAGGTTCAAGAATTGCCAGTGATAGTATCTGACTGCAAATATATATTAAAAGTAATAATAATCAAAAGCAGTATACCAAGAAACTACTCTCCAATAAAAGCTGTCTTGAGAGAATCATTCAGCATGCAGAGAACACAGTTCTTTACCCCAAAGGCATCTCTGTGGGGGAGAAGAAGGTTCAGCCCCTCAAATGATCCGAGAAATTATGCTGGAGTCTTCCCCCACTATTCTTAGCTTACTTTTACACTATTTCTTTACATTTATGTGGAGCTTGGGTGACTTTTGTGATACATCTTAATAGTAAGTGGTGGTCATATCTTGGGGCTAGATATCTCAGGATAGTACCTGAGACAACCTTGGGAGGGGGACATGGGTCAGTCCAAGATTTTGCCATTGTTGCTGATGCAACAGCAGGACATCTTCTTTTATCTCCCTTGGTTTTCAGCTGCTGTGTGGTTTATCAGCTGGAAAGTGCCCCTGAGTTCTCTCCTCTGCAAGGGTTTTGGCAGAGCCTGGTCATGGTGGCTCCACTCTGCTCCATCATCTGTTTAGTGCCCCTTGGACTGCATTGGGTGGGAGAGGTCGGACATGCTGACTGCATTCCATATGGAGAGTAGCAACTGCATGTTTCCCTAGAACTTCCATGTCATTATCTTTCTACCCTCAGTCATGCTCCCACTTTATACTTTCCCTTTAAACAAGTAATAGTGCTTTGGAAACACATTATTCCCTGTGTTCTACAAAACCTCTATGCACTCACTGAATTTTGGGACAGAGAGAAGATGCCATTAAAGGAAAATGCAGGGCAGCCCAGAAGATATTGCATTCTTTTTACATGACTTGTTAATCATGATCCATATAACACTGTTGCATCTGTGGTTGCGTGCAGAACATGAAGTTGAAATGTACAAATAAAACACTATTCAAGAGTGCGTATAGTAACAGAGTAGATATACTTACTCTTATACAATAAAGAAGGCTCTCGAAGAAACCTTTTCCTTGCTGTTCAAAAGAGGCAGCATTTTGTTTTCCCAGTAGAATTACATACTGGGCTTCTGATTATGTACAGTCAAAATATGCTTAATTATCTTTATCTTGAAAAGTAAGTAGCGTGTTTCTCATGCTCAAGCTTCTTTTGAGGACTTCAAGAATATTTAGAACTCAGAAATATTAAAATGTTAATGAAATGCTTTATTAGTTGAAAGAAAAGAAAAACTATAAGCTATATAGAGAAAAAAATAAGAGAAAAACTGCTATGCATCTAATTTGAATAGTTTTGAGTGACATATTAATTATTTA